TAAACACCCTTCGACACTCAAAAGCACACAAGAAATACAAACAGCACAGGCACAAGGTGGCAGAGTGACTTACCCCCTGATATGACCGGTTTTAACTTTTGAACCCTCCTTCCCATATAGATTGCTAAAGTGTGATTGTGTCAGTGATTTGTTTTCATCGGGAAATTTTTTCGCTATGAAGTTGTTTTTTCCCGATGAAAACATTTTGCGTATACGTTTATGTGACATAGTGTGCGTGCGATAAACGTCAGCAATCTCTATTCCCCTTCAAATGCTACGTCATTAACACGCATGTTCTCTTAAAGCGAACCACATTATTCCAGCTGGGTGGCATGCCGCCATGTTATTGAAACCAACATCTGAAACGTCACAATTGAAGTGTGAACTGCAAAAATGGCGTGACTGAATTGTCTTATTTTTATCAAATGAATTTATTTTCCATTTTATGCCATATAAATGGTTGACTTCGTGGTAGAAAATCATAAAATAATATTTTATGAGTTCTAAGTTTATTTTTTACAAAATGTAAGCAAAAATATTAAGAATATCTAAAATATCAGTCACGCCTTTTTTGAAATTCTGGCTTGAATCTTCGATTTGTTTACAAATTATGAGCTGTCAGTGGGGCCCACGATTCGCGGGCCCGCAGAGATGTTAGCTCTTTTTTCAAGGCAAGGCAAACAAGATAGGGCTGCCACCCAGCTGCATTATTCTAATTGATTTTATCGAGGGAGCGACACATCTAAATCTCAATTTAAGACGTTCAACAAATTTCTCATCTGGAATCAATCTTCGAAAAATCTTCTTTCATTTCTCGCATCTACTTGCATCGCGCATAAGCTTTTTGCAGGAAATCTTCAGAATCATCATCATTTTTTTTTCTATCTACTCAGCTTGCGCGCAGGGCATAACACAATTTTTCCTGCATCGTAGATAGAGTCGCCACCCTCGGATTTTATCGCCATTATAACGACAGGGGCGCTTTTTTGAACCAATTTTCTGTCAAACGCGAACCAGCGTCTGATTGGTCGGGTGAACGTATAGAAACGCGAGAAATTTTACAAATAATTTTTGAACGGTCGTTTCCGCGAGAGAAGAAGAACACCCCACAGACAAAAAGAAGCCAGTTGTCTCCTCTTCCTCTTAGGTTATATGTAAAGAGACTAGTCCCGTTGCTCTTGGAGTTGGTCCCGTTTGTTTTTATTCGAGGGAAACTACACAGCAAAAAAAATGTAATATCGTGCAATGTAATTCAAGCTGATGTATGAAATAATGATGTAATAGCAAAAATCAGATACAATATTACATCAATGGATGTCATTTTGTTCGCAAAATCGATGTACATCGTACAACGTTATAGGCCTTTTTAATGCACCACCAACGTAGAGGGCACCACGCGAGTTCGAGAGGAAACGTCAACCAAACCGTTTGTTTACATCAGAAGAAGGATTTTTCACAACGCAAATTAAAGCATTTTTCATTGAACATCTTACCAATTTCCATCAGTAATTGTCTTATTTTACGATTTTCCACACATCTGAACTGATTTGCACCTTAACCACAAACGAAGTGACAGACGACTAACTGGCGAAGAAATCCATTTAAATAATGTGGTTCACTGTAATAGAATTTTCTTGGAAGCTTGTGCCATCATCCACCAGATGGGTTAGTTTTTTTGTTTTGATTTGAACAAAGTTGATTTTGTGTACAATGATTCTTTGACAGTGTGCAAAGAGTGCGTATCATTTTGTAATTTTTTTTATGCATTTCAGTTTTGAGTAGAGTGAAAGAGATAGAACCAAAACATTCTAGTACATTTGGTGAAAATGCTAGTTCAATCTAGTAGTAGTGTTGCCATGTGGTACAATCCAGTAGTAGTGGTGTTGCCATGTGGTACACTGAAAAATTGCAATAGCAGGTTAGTCACCAAAGTTTTCGAGCCGCTCCGTCTGTCACTTCGTTTGTGCCTTAACTATTCACACACAAGAAATCCGGAAGATTATAATCACCACAAACGAAGTGACAGACGACTAACTGGCGAAGAAATCCATTTAAATAATGTGGTTCACTGTAATAGAATTTTCTTGGAAGCTTGTGCCATCGTCCACCAGATGGGCTAGTTTTTTTGTTTTGATTTGAACAAAGTTGATTTTGTGTACAATGATTCTTTGACAGTGTGCAAAGAGTGCGTATCATTTTGTCATTTTTTTTATGCATTTCAGTTTTGAGTAGAGTGAAAGAGATAGTACCAAAACATTCTAGTACATTTGGTGAAAATGCTAGTTCAATCCGAGGGGGACGACTCTATCTACGATGCAAAAAAGATTGTGTTTTGCTGTGGCTAGCTGCGCGCGCGTTGAGTATATAGAAAGAAGATTGATGACGATTCTAAAGATTTCCTGCAAAAAATTGATGAGCGATGCAAGTAGATGCAACAAATGAAAGAAGATTGTTCGAAGATTGATTCGCTAGTGTGAGATTTGTGGACCATCTAAACTTGAGATTTAGATGTGTCGCCCCCCTCGGTTCAATCCAGTAGTAGCAACAATCAATACGAAACTAACGATTTTAAATTGGCTCACTACTTGACTAGCCTATTGGTCCCAAGCAAATCGATTACGTATCCCATTCTAGTCAAAATTCTAGTACTACACTATGTTTGTTTTGATTTGCTATGAAAGTTTGACAGATAAAATGAGGGGTTATTCGATTTTCCTATGTTTCGAGGGGTGAATCGATTAGCTTGGGACCGAAGATAGTACCAGAGCTGAGCCAAAAAGTTGAGCACGTTTCTTCGGGACCTACTAGTCTTAGAGTTACCTCTATGGTAGTAGTGTTGCCATGTGGTTCAATCCAGTAGTAGTGGTGTTGCCATGTGGTACACTGAAAAATTGCAATAGCAGGTTAGTCACCAAAGTTTTCGAGCCGCTCCGTCTGTCACTTCGTTTGTGATAATCACTAAGGCACTATTGGAATTTTGTATTTTTCCTAACAAAAACATTCCTGAACACTAGCAGAATCCTTGCAAAAACGATACAGAATTAAATTTTTCAACTGTAAATCAAGTTTTGGAGCATCTCAGATGAATCAATTTATCAGGAAAAGTGAAAAAGTGTTCGCTTCCTATGTCTCACGGCCTAAAATTCTGCTAATAACACTCTTTTTAAAGTTCTCCTATTTACCACCAGAGGTTGAATCGATCGTTTAGTTTCTATTAAAAAGGCGTATATTACACAGCCGATGGATTGACCTGGTTGCATCAGTTTGGATGTAATATTCAACAACTTTTTTTTCTGTGTATTCAGTGTTGTTTTTTTTCGGTGATTCGATTTAGAGTTGGTAATCAAGTTAAATTAAACGAATTTATCTTTTCGTTGCGCTTGGTTTTAGGGATTGTATTTGTAAATACCTCAAAAGCTTGATGCATCAGATATACTTCTCCAATCACCACCAGTAACAGTACCAATTTGACAGGTTTGACAGGTCTCGTGCTCGATTGGAATGACACTGACAGACAAATGAGAATGTTAATGCCAGGGGCTTGACTGGCGGCCACGTTTTTTATGCTATAATCTGCTCTTGTCTTTCTGCTTATAATGCGATTTTCCGTCCCTTTCCACCATGTATACGCGGAACGTATTTAAATAAGGCCCGTGATGTTGCCTACTATCAAACGTAAAGGATTAAGATGGGGTTGCCAGCAACCTGGTTTTTGCAGCTGATAACGAAAGAGAATGTCGATGAAGAGAATCGATCAAAGCAGGATTTTTTTTTTTTGCCGAGATGGGCACCACCGAGCAGCTCGGCAATTTATTTTGCTGGTTCTCAGTGAAGCTCTGAACTGTAAACCTTCCTTTAGAGGGACTTTAGGCAACCGGTGGAAGCATAGAGGTAACTCTAAGACTAGTAGGTCCCGAAGAAACGTGCTCAACTTTTTGGCTCAGCTCTGGTACTATCTTCGGTCCCAAGCTAATCGATGCACCCCTCGAAACATAGGAAAATCCACCAGCCCCTCATTTTATCTGTCAAACTTTCATAGCGAGTCAAAACAAACATAGTGTAGTACTAGAATTTCGATTAGAATGGGTTACGTTAATCGTTTGCTTGGGACCAATAGGCTAGTCAAGTAGTGAGCCAATTTAAAATCGTTAGTTTCGTATTGATTGTTGGTGGAAGCTAACGATTTTAAATTGGCTCACTACTTGACTAGCCTATTGGTCCCAAGAAAATCGCTTAACGTACCCCATTCTAGTCGAAATTCTAGTACTACACGATGTTTGTTTTGATTCGCTATGAAAATTTGACAGATAAAATGAGGAGTTCGTGGATTTTCCTATGTTTCGAGGGGTGCATCGATTAGCTTGGGACCGAAAATAGTACAAGAGCTGAGCCAAAAAATTGAGCACGTTTATTCGGGACCCTCTAGTCTTAGAGTTACCTCTATGCTTTAGGCCCCCAGACTGATTCTTGAAGACCATTGTTGCAATTTGGGTGGTCAGATCATAGGTGACCATAGGTGGATAAATCTAGGTTTTTTAAACTCAGTTACTTCTATGGGGTAAGGATGAGAATAGAACACGTGACTTTCACGAGGACCGAGACATTCCCCAGCGACTCCATTTTGAATACGGAACAATCCCGAATAAAAAAAAAATCAGAATAATTGTGGTCCGGTTTCGTTCGAAATCTCTGAGAGAATTGATCAAAAATTCACAATTCACATCCGCATCAATTGCTCGGAAGTTAAGATAAGAAGCAGTATTTACAATACACCACATCGAAAGCAAATAAGCACTATCTACTGTGTCTATCTTCGTGTCCAAACATATCACTATCGACCATCAAATCGGTACTTTCACAAAATCCCTTATCTTACCTGTATATCGCCATCGAATTAATCCCCTTCAAGTGGTTCCTTATCACCATCCACTTCACCCAGCAGCAACTATAATATATAAGAAATCGTCCATGATCACCGCTTACCGTCAGTACTATTCGTAATGTTACCGTGTCCGCGAGTGATTTCCGGAGTGTTGCTGCTCGTGGCAGCCGTGTCGTGTGTGGAACTTACCCAGCGGGATTGGTGGGAGAAAGCCGGCTTCTATCAGATCTATCCACGTTCGTTCAAGGACAGCGACGGCGATGGGATTGGTGATCTGAATGGGATCACCTCCAAGTTGCAGTATCTGAAGGACATTGGGGTGCGAGCGTTCTGGATGTCTCCCATCAACAAGTCTCCGATGGTTGACTTCGGGTACGACATCTCGGACTATCGGGCGATTCAGCCGGAGTACGGAACGATGGAGGATTTCGAGCACTTGGTGACGGAGGCGAAACGCGTGGGCTTGAAGGTGATTATGGACCTTGTTCCTAATCATTCTAGCGACAAGCATGAGTGGTTCGTCAAGTCGGAGAATCGGGAGCAGGGCTATGATGAGTACTATGTGTGGCACGATGGGGTGGATAATCCGCAGGGTGGAAGGAAGCTTCCACCGTCGAATTGGGTGCAGGCGTTCAGAGGAAGTGCGTGGCAGTGGAGTGAGAAGCGGATGCAGTACTATCTGCATCAGTTTACGGTCGAACAGCCGGATTTGAACTACAGGAATCCGAAGGTTGTTCAGGAGATGAAAGATGTGATAACGTTCTGGTTGGATAAGGGGGTGGATGGGTTTAGGATCGATGCGGTGCCTTGTTTGTACGAAGCTGAGGCGAATGGATCTTTCCCGGATGAACCAATAAGTGGATTGACGAATGATCAGGATGATTTTGACTATTTGACCCACGTGTACACTCAAAACCAACCGGAGACGCTGGATATGGTGTACCAGTGGAGGGAGCTGGTGGATCAGTATCAGAAGGACCACGGTGGAGAGACTAGGGTCCTAATGACAGAAGCGTACACTAGTTTGGAAATCTTGCATGAATACTACGTTAGTCCGGATGGTCGACTGGGATCGCATATGCCGTTCAACTTTGGGCTGATAACTGACTTGAGAATCAATTCCACAGCGGAGGATTTTGTGAAAGTGGTACAGTCGTGGATGGAGATCGTTCCTCCGGGGCATGCGGCTAACTGGGTGGTGGGTATTTATTTCTGATTGGCGGTGGATGTTTGTAAGATAGTAAGGTGTTTTGCAGATGGGCAATCACGATCGTTCGAGGGTCGGCACCCGTTCCGGTACGGAGCGTATCGACGCTATGAACATGATCATCCACAGTCTACCGGGTCCTACGGTGACCTATCAGGGTGAGGAAATTGGAATGACCGATGTGATTATTTCTTGGGAAGAAACAAAAGATCCAGCGGCTTGCAATGCTGGGGAGGAGCTGTATGCGCAGAAGTCACGGGACCCGTGTCGGACGCCATTTCAGTGGGACGATTCGACATTGGCTGGGTTCACCAACGGGAGTACAACGTGGCTGCCGGTTGGTCCGAACTATCGAACGGTGAACGTGAAAGTGGAAAATGGTTTGGAGAAGAGCCATCTGAAGGTGTACAAGGCTATGATGAAGCTTCGCGAAAGTAAGACCTTTCAGCATGGCTCGGTTAAGGCGAGTGCCGTTAAGGAGAATGTATTGGCGATCGTGCGGGAATTGCAGGGCTACAATACGTACATTACGCTGGTGAATCTTGGCGGTGCGATCGAGCTGTTTGACGGGATAGCGTTGGCTAGCCGATTGCCGTCGAAGCTGAGATTCGAGGTGGTGGGAATCGACTCGCATCATGTTCGAGGGTATTTATAGTAGACATTTGGTAGACTAAATGATCATGGGACTTGTTTTTATTTTCAGGGGAGCTGTTGCAACGAACGACATCTTGTTGCTTCCTAATGAATCGTTTGTTTTGGTTGCTAGAGTTGCACCAGTAGACAGACTGCACGAATCTATTTGCGAAGCTTGGCTGGAGCAGTGATGAAGGGGGGTTCGAACAAGGAAGTCTGAGCCGGACGATAAGTGTACAATATAAATAATTTATTTTGGTAAAATTTAGATGATTTATTTACAATCATACTGAATGGATGCATTGCTTAAGTTGACTTTGTATTCGCTCGTTTAAAACACTGGTTTCAAGGGATTTGTTCAACAGTATCTGTCCGGTAGGCTTCCCTATGCATATAGTTTAGTATCAACCTAGAACGTTTTCATTTTTTTTACGCTTATCACAATCCTTCTAGTCTGATTCCCTTCGAAGTAGGTATACGTCCGAGACTCGATGAACACTTTTCGTATCAATGGCATGCTGTATTGTTGTCGTTTCTCGCCTTCCCGCCCCGCGCTTGCAATCGATGATGGTCGAATGTTGTTTGCTTCAAGATTGTATAGTAAGGTCTACAATCGCTTCTAATATCAATAAGGAGGTAATGCTGGCGTCTTCCAATGGGTTAGTTGTTGTCGGTAATCAGTGTGTGTGTATTGCTATTCCACAGGAACTCCACTGGATCATCGCTTGCGCCAGAAAATCCGCGTCAAACCCGATAGGGCGTAGGATATTCTACAAGAATGTATGGCTGGTTAATCCTAGAACTGAACTGTAAGATCTACCACTTCCATTGTTACCACTCTTTTCCTTACTTGTCCATAACCTAGCATATACGAAAAGCTTGCGTTTGACAGGTTGAGGTTAGATACTTTATTGAAACATCTAGCGATTTGAATGTTGTTACAATAGTTATCAGCTTAAAATATTATACAAAATGGATACACAGAAATTCAGCCTTTAGCCAATTGGACACTCGGATTAGCACGGTTATCTTCCAAAGCCGTCGCAACCAAGTGCTGGTGCTGATCAGAATCGGCATCCACCGGTTCCCAACCACCTTGATGTTCTTTATCGGAAGCGCTGTTGCCCTTGCCGTTGTCATTGTGTGCGTGTCTTTCGCTGTAAATACCAAACCGTCACCGTAAATTTTGATCGCTTTTAAAATCCAAAGCCAATGCATAAATACACAAATTGTTAAAGCATTTTTTGATGAAGCTATTTACACGTATGAGACTACGACTAATTTTAGCTCGTTAAACAAAAGTTCCAACCGCCACCAATTGTAAACTGTCGTGAGTATGCATATGCGTGTACGATCGTGGATAAATTTAGCGGTTAAGGTTGCGTTAATGTGTGAGTAAGAGAAAAGAAAACCAGTTGCGATACTGCGGTTATTAGAAAATCTTTTTGTAAGCTACATACGAAGAGGAGATCGAACTAAGCAGCCAGTCCTTCCAGCCTTTGTTGTATTCGTCGATCTTAGCCTCGACGCCCTCGCAGAAGTACTTGCGATCGTGGCTGCGGCCGCTCTTGGCGTCACACAGTATCCGCTTGCGGCACTCGAAGTCGCACTCTGGCCGAACCGGTGAATTCTTCCAGTAATGTCTACGATCAAATACGGGAGAAGATTAAGGTCAGTTGAATTTTACCGGGATCGTTGACTGCACTTACTTGTAATACAGGTCGAACAGCTCCTTGTTGTCGGTCATGTTATTAATTAGAATGTCCCAGTCAACCGGCCGAAGACCACGCATAGCGTAGGCCGCCCGTGTAGAGTACAGTTTATACCAAATGGGGTAATCGTACAGGTTGGCTTCCTTGAGGTTCATAATCCACGATTCGTGGTCAACTACCAGCTGTAAAGGCGTACTCATGATAAGAAACCTACCGCCGAACTTTACGTAATTCGTCTTACCCGAGTGGTTTGGTCGTGATCTCCATCGATGTAGTAAATTCGGTAGCCCGGATTTAGATCGTAGTAGGGAGTCACCGATGGCCCAATGTACGCTATACTCGTTGCTCGACCTGCAATACAAAATCCATTAGCGAACTCTTAATGATCAAACCCTAAACCTCCGCACTTACCCAAATCATGTGGATCGTAGAACACCTCAAACTCATCAAAGTGCGTATGGCCAAAGAACTGCGCAACGATCGTGTTCTCGTACCGTGACACAATTTTATAGTAGTTCCTACTCCAAACTTTCAGGCAATCCGAATGACCCGGAGGGATGTGCCCGATGACGTGAACCTTCTCGTTGGCGAACTCTGCACTCTGCAGCTCGTAGATGAACCATGAAAGTTCAGTGGCGGGGTCCGTTGAGTTGAGCAGCAACCACCAGTTCTTGTTGTTGCAGTAGTTCATGTTCATCGAAATGATCCGGTAGCCGGGGCGAACCAGGACCGAGTAGAAGGCACCTCGTCGAACCGTGTGTGACACGCTGGCTGGTAGCCATCGTCGCCAGTGAATGTCCAGTTCGTCGTACAACCAGGAGATCGAGCTGTCCACCTGTTGGACGTACGGCGGTGGGAAACTGTTGACCGGAGCACTTTCGTGGTTGCCCAGTGCGGGGAAGATTGGGATTCCAGGAAACTTTTCCGCCATCTGTTTGACCGTTTCCTTGAGCACTTTTAGATTTTCCTCCTTTGTCTGGTTCCAGACGTCATGTGGCGGCAGATCACCAGTCCAGATGATGAAATCAATATCCGAGTGGGTATCAGCAATGTGACTCAGCAAGTGATCGACCGTTCGTTGAGGAGTATCACACTTTCGGTAGTCACCCCACTTTCCGGCTGCTCCATTTGGAGTCGTAGGTCGTCCGTTAGTCAGTCGGCAGCACAGTGGTTCGTTGCAGTCGGCGTTTGAGCCTTCGGCGTAGTATGGATCATAGTGGGTATCCGAGAGGTGCAGGACTTTGAACACGGGGGCACCTTCTGACGGCAGTTGAACTTCACGGACTTCCGGTTTGGGAACCGGTGGGAAGTCAACTTCCCACTCGTGATACGGGTTGTAGATGTCTTCGCAGGCATCACCAATAATAAAACTACAGATTTCATCCGGCCCAATCGTAACTCGTTTCAGGACGTAGATGACTTCAACGCCGAACAATTGGCTAACGCCTTCGCACACTCGAGGAGACTGGATCTTGAGGTTTACACAGTACTGGTAGATGGTCTTGATAATCTCTTCTTTGCTCTTGCCGGTTCGAATGTAGTGCTGAAGAAGTCCAGCGCCGGCTTTGCAGGCCGTACAGGAAACCTGGGACATTACACTGGTTTCCAGTTCGAACGCTACTTGTTGGAGATTGAAGTACTTGATCGTTTTAGTGAGAAGCGGTGGTAGATGCGATTCTTCTTTATTGTAGGAGAATAGGGTTCTCGCCGTAGCATTCTCTTTGATCTCCATCAGGCGCTTCAGGATCTTATCATCGTGATTTTCTGAGTCGATCACGGCGTAGCTGGTGGGAGGCAACCGGTGAACATTGTGCTGATTTTCGAGTAGTGGATGCACGCTTCGTGGAACTGTTTGGATGTTCCAATCGTCGTCCGGTTGGCGCCATTCAACCTGCGCTTTTCGTTGTTGACCACTAGACGATGTGAACACAAACGGGTGAGCTGTAAATTAAAGATCGGTCTTGATTATTGCGATTATCGGTATGTTATGAGGTGTACAACTTACACTGAGTGAGTCGAAATAGTTCCAATAGAAACACCAAAACGATCGGAAAGTAGTACTGACTCATGGTGACGTCCGATTGATTGATAGCATGTGGAGCGATTAAGCGAAGAAGAGGGCGACCTCGAGCGCGTGCTGATACCTGATTGACGGACGCTCGACGGCTGCTGCGGCACCAACCCCGTCGGTAGGTAGTCTGGAACAAAGAAAAACAGGAAATTTTCAGTTACCTATCATGAGCGTATGTAAGCAGTAGTGTGAGTAAGAGAGGCTGGCTCGTGGTGCTTGAAAGTGAAACCGACCAAACTTGATTACTAAAAAAGGAAAAAAGACGACGATGATCATCGATCAGGAAGCGCAAGAGATCCGTAACAGATCCGCCGTCCAATTATACGCCTGCGGTTCAAAGCCAGCTTATCAAAGGTGATCGCAATCTGGTGACTGGTGCAGTGAGAGTTCCTAAGAAAGCGGCAAGATCGCGGAAATAGGTACCTACGTCTTGCTCCCATTAATCGTTCAAATGATCGTCGTCGTTGAATGTCAGTCCTCTGGAAAGACGCGTGCCATGGCATAATTGCGACTCTTTACGAGAGTCAGGAAAAGTGAATTTCCACTGAAGGCAGATAAGTGTAGAGTTGACCTTAATGCATGAAACCGGTCTTCACGGTAGACGATCGCACCAAGCTGCGAGCGAAACGATCTTCCAGTAGCAACAAGCTGGGTAGACTGTTGTTCAGTGGAAAAGCCCGTCCTGTCGCGTCACAGTGGTAGCCAATTTTAGATAGTCGCGATTGCAATTTCAGCGTATGTGACAATTTGTTTTGCGTCGCCAGCTTGCATAATGACTCAAACTGTGTCATACGAGACGACTATGGATAAGCTGATAAACATTGAACCATAGACAAGTGGACTTGACTTTTTTGAGAAATCAAATTCACGATTCTATCGAAGATGGCGCTTCTGTTTATATAATCGTCGACTGTCAAAACAAACAAAAACCGTGTTGCCAGTATTTGATTTGAATAATAATTCAATCGTCTCATTTCTGATTCTCTGACAAGCAAATATGGAAAACAAACTGCAGAAAAAGCCATCATTATTTATTACTTGGTGGGAGTGCATACAATACCATTGTCAACAAACAACGCCGGCAGCCGGCAAATCACACGCTCTCAGCCTGTGACTGTTGTCATGTTGAGTTTCTTTGTTTGTCACCATGCATGATGGCGGGATAGCCGAGGCCAATTACATTAGGCACAACAACGACAACAACAATTTCGAAGTAGAACTGTTAATAGAAATCATAGAATTCTTAGCAATTACGTAGCTCCCCGCGTGGACCGGCTACCGTGGAAAAGTACAATAACATTAATGTTAAATTCCATTCAGATGAATCTCATGCTGGCAGTGCGAAATGAAACGAACTTCGTCAACACTTTGATTTAGGGGCGCGAAACTTGCATAACGAGTTGGCGCTCGCATGATGGCCTTAATTTGTTGCGTTAAAACTTGATTGCAGTCCAGATCAGCCGTGGTGCCATTAGATCATAGCGGTTTAGCTATTTATAGGAAGTTCAAATATATGCTCACATTGATTTGCGAGTTTTTTTTTTCTGGAAAGATAATGAGAGAATACAGCAGATATGGGTCTTTTTGCGTAGAAACCTGTTTTTCCGATGTGGGTCATCGATGCTGATGATGAAGAACGGGCGGAGGGAGGGGGTCAACTCTCAGTAGGCCACTCAAAGGGAGGCAAGATAAATACTTTCTTGTACGGTACGGATGAATGGCGATCGCGTTATTAGCGATCGTCAGTGACATATTTTGTGTGATTGGGGAGAGCAAGAGAGAAATGTATGGGAAGTGACATATATATATATTTTTTTCTCATGACAGGATGTGTGTCGAGAAAGCGAAATTGCTTCGCTTGATAATTTCCGGCGAGAAATTGCTAGTCGAGGGTTTTAAAAGGTTGAAATACTGACTGTTTTGATATAGCATTAATTAGTGCTTGAGACAAATAGAATATATTACGCGATATATGTAGAGTATATTGAATCATGATGGCCGGTGATAGTTGATCGAGATAGATTGTTGATGAAGACAAATCTTTGATAATAGAAACTATTTGATATATTCAGATTGCTTATTATATACATTTTTCGATCATGACATCAGTGCTGCAAAATCTCGACAATACACGGTAATATTGACAATTCTACTTTGGTTACTCATTTGAGCTAACAGTCATCGTCAAGGCAAACCATGTCAATTCCGGAGTGATTTGAGATTTGGGTGTAATTCCATTTGTAAACAAACACGTCAATCGCCGATTTCTCGTGAATAAAAGCTAAATCTCGAAAACTAATAACGCTTTGAGATAGAGGAATGATTCCTCTATCATTTGGTATAGTTGGTTTGTGAGATTGAGCTTTAATTCAAGAGAAATCGGCAATTGACGTCTTTGTTTAAAAAAACAATTACGCCCAAATCTCAAATCACTCCGGAATTGTCAGTGACAATGCTGTCAGTGACGAAAATGTGTAGATTTTTTTTATTAACTAAATTTGTAACGAAATTAAATTACTTGAGTAACACGATTACATGGAGCAGTTAAAGTGAACAATCATCTAAGTCCTGAACTGCTTGGATAACAATAATGTGACACATAATGCACGAAATTACACTTTTTGTTGCCAGGTGAATCTTTATCATTGACGAAAAAATGAATGAGATTTTGACAAAGGTTTTTTTGAGGATCAAATTTATCAGAGACTCCGTGATAAACAATTTTGTCAATTCCGCGCGAAGTCTGTCAATGACAATGACAAATCTCAGCACTGTATGACATATAGTTGATGAAGGGAAATGATTGATCAAGGGGCAAGACAGCTCCTAATCATGAGCAATTTCAGAGTTACTTTTGAATCACCTCTAGTAACTCACATTGCTCAGTGAGCAAGATCACTGTCATTTGCTTTCTCACTTTTCGCATCACAACAACATATGGAGGTGCGAAGCCGAATAGCTGTTGTCAAGCAAAACAACAACAAAAATTGGGGACTTTTGGCCTACAACTCCAGGCGAGTATGATTGTGATTCTGAACTTTCGGTCCTAAATTTCCTTCGGTTTCCAGCTCCCGGGATCGCTCCTCGAATGGCTGAGGACTAAAATCGACTCGATTTTCTTGGCTGTTGCGGAGGTTGAATATGATTTGATCCTACTGACGGAAACGTGACTGGATGACCGGATCTTTTCATCGCAACTTCGGATCCCTTTGTTCCGTCTTCAAGTGACCGATCTTCCCTGCACAGTCGAAAATCGCGCGGTGGAGGCTTTCTGGCTGCTGTCTCAACTAGACTATCCAGCTACCTAAGTACCTCGCCCATTTCCAGTCTGCTGGAACATTGTCGTGGAATTTCCACAAAACATTCTCAGTATTGGCGCTGTCTACCTGCTGACTGCACGATCATCCGTGAGCAACATCGTTAGGTCTTGATTGAGTCCCCGCTCTCCCGTACTACTATTTGGCGACTACAAAATCAGTGGCGCTATACCGACAGCGGTACACCATTTATTGACTCACTGCTATCGCATATGCCGGTGGCTTGCTGTACTCTTTTGGACGGATTTAACTTACACGGGTTTAGTCAAGAAACACTTTTCCCAACCGAAACGGACGTTTGCTAGATCTTGTCCTGGCAAATGATTTCGCATTACCGGCCACTAATCAGTCTAGATGCTGACCATCCCGCTCTCGTCGTGTCATTCAGGTTATCTAACTCCGATTTCAAATAGACAAATCAACATTCTCTCAATTCTCAATTCTCTTCATCGACTCTCCCTTTCGTAAATAACTCGACTGTGAACATGCATAAGGGCGTAAACGCGATGATCGATTCTCTTCGTCGATTTTCTCTTTTGTTAATAGCTCACTAGACTTCTCGGTGCGTTTGCTGTTGCTTTTGATAGCTAATACAACCTGTTACAACTATGCATTGAACAAATTCTAGAAAATTGATTCGCTTAGTTGTAGCAATGCAAAGAGAAAATCGATCAAACCGTATACGGGCTTATGCATGCTCGCTGTCGATATTAAGGCGGTAAACGGAGTAAGCCGAGGAGTAAACAGACAGTAAATCGATGAACGTCGATTTAATTTTGAGGTACATTGAGTTACTCGCGAGTTACTTGCAGAACTCAGAGCTAGGGGCATCTCACTCTAAACTTTAGACCTAGTATCAATTAAATATTTTTAAATTCCTCGTAAGTATCGCAAGTATTTTTAAGTATTTTTAACTAAGATTATATTTTCATCGTAGTAACACTTGTTTTTATGACGTGTTGCTAGTGTAGAGGTTTGTTGTTGATTTTTTTTTGTTATATCGAGTCGTTCGTCGTGCATTTGTTCAAATTCATATGAAAACTCTTGTTAATGGGTGGATATTTGTATTATGTCAATGAAATAGTATTACTAATTTCTATTTTTCAGCCATTCAAAATGTTAAAATGCAAAGGTCAAGATCGACGTAGCTACAAAAAACGATGATTTTCAATCGTTGGCATGAGATGCACCCGAGTATAAATTATGAGGTGTCTAATGATCGAGAGAACACAGATTGTTCATTGGCTTACATAAACCCCTTCGGTGGACACAGATCCTACTGATGAATATTTATTTCCACAAATGGATACTACCCCTGCCTTCCTAGCAGCAAATCATCTGACTAAGTAGTTTTTTTTTGCAGTACAGTTGAGGAACTAAAAGCAAGCTCAAGATGCCGAAAAAATCATGTCACATAATATTCCTTAAGAAACCAAGATGACCAAGCGAATGGGTAGTGAAGGAATGGGTCAGGAGGGTCAAAACGTCTGATCGAAAGCAAAAATAAAGTTTATCAATTATCGAGTTTCTCAATTAACGAATAAGTTCTATGAAAATTCTAATACCTATTACAATTAAACATTATATTGCTTGTTTCGATTCTACATAGGAAATCCTTAAAGTTAAATCCGACTATTTTAATCATTTCCATAATTGTTTCATGTTATCGTTGGACCATTATACTCCAACTATTAGTTAATCACCAGATCATGCAACGAGAGTATAGAGTTCAAAATCGATATAGGATATAAACCATATCCTCCTGGAAAGTTAAAAAGAGAGCTGTGCTGAAAACTAAAAATGTTTCAAA